CTGTACACACTATTCTGAAATACTGTGGTGAAGTAAGGCCTTGCATCTTCGAGCAGGACGCTACATAAGGGAGGGTTCGCTGCATTGGAAGGGTCTTCCACATCCCAGATTTCAAGCATACTGCAACCAGGCCTGAGAAAAGATAGACATATATATCCATATTAGAAATGTATTCCTGTCTAGAGAAAATAGATACATAACACAACATCTAGATTTTCAGAGACATATTTTTTAAATAAGTTAAATATTTTAAAGCATCATTTCAAAACACAATTTCAACATTTAGAAATTTAAAAAATAGAATGAAATTAAGTATGTTGCATTTTCACATCTCATTTAACCAAATGAAAGATATATCCTAATAATAAACCTTCAATATACATTCATAAATATACATTTAAAAGCTCACTTTCAAGATGAAACAAACATAAATATACTCTCCAAGTGCCATCACCATCTAAACATAAGGCCCATTTGTAGTAAAAGACAAATTAAAACCTAATCGAATTCCTGATGAATTTCACATTTTTTAGCATAAACTGTCTTGGATTAGCATGAAATCATCCAAGGCAGGGACAGGAGACTCTCATGGCAATTCGTTTTCTTCAGTGCTTTCCCATTTTGGGTGGCTGTATGACTGGGCTACATGAGACACTATTCCTCCCTGGAGAGTAACCCTGCGTGGCAGTCATTAAAGAGAGGGAGTCAGACAACATTGATTTCTAATGTTTTAACATCTATATGGAAGTATAAGTTATACACAATAAAATTCACCTATTTTATGTGTAAAGTTTGGCAGGTATGGGCAAATGTGTATAGATGTGTAAGCACTACCACAATCATAATACAGAAAATTTCCATCACCCCCACAAGTTCCCTGTGCCCTTTTGCAGTCTACCTCCTTCCCCAAACATGGCCTCGGGCAACTACTGTGCTTTCTGCACTATAGTTTTGCCTTTTCTAGAATTTCACATAAATATATTATGTAGTCTTTTCACTTTTGGCTTCTTTACCATAGCATGTTTTTGATATTCATATCTGAGCTGTAGTTCCTACAACTTCTGTTGAGGTTCAATAGTTCCTTCCTTTTTGTTGCTAAATAATATTTCATTGTATACAGAGAACACAATTTGTTTATCCATTTGCAAGTTAATGAACATTTGAGATGTTTTGAGTTTTTGGTGACCATGAACAATGCCGCTATAAACATTCATGGACAAGGCTTTTGGTGGACATGTGTTATCATTTCTCTTAGGGAAACACTTAGGAGTGGAATTGCTGGGTTGTATGGTTATGTTTGATTAAGTGCGGATTTATCTTTATAAGCAAGTTCAAAACTGTTTTCCAGAGTAGATGCACCATTTTCCATTTCCACCAAAAATGCATGAGATTTTAAGTTGTGCCAGTTTTTGTGATTTTAATCATTATAGTATGGTTATGGATGATTCAAAATATCTTCTTTGGTGGAATGTCTATTCAAATATTTTGCCAAATTTTGTGTTGTTTCTTATTGAGCTGTGACAGTTCTTTTCATATTCTAGGTAAAAGTCTGCCAGATATATTTAGCAGATGTATTAAGGTGTAATTGCTCAATAATTACCCAATAAGCTGCACATATTTAGTATCCACTTTGATACATATTAACATGTGTATACACCTGTAAAACAGCAGCCACAATAAAAATCATGAAAATACCCATCTCTCCCAAAAGTTTACTTCTGCCCTTTTGTAATCCTAATTATTTGCATGCTTCCTTTTTTGACTGGCTTCTTGTTCTCATAGAATTATTTTGAGATCCATCCACATTACTGTATCAATATGTTGCTCATTTTTATTAGTGAGTAGTATTTACATTGTCTGGATATTCTAATAGTGTGTTTATACATCCATCTATTGATAAATAAGCGGGTTGTTTCCAGTTTGGGGCTATTACAGAAAATAAGGTGCTATGAACATTTGTGTACTATTACTGGGATGTATATATGCTTTCTTTTATCTTAATAAATGTAGTAGTTGTATGTTTAACTTTTAATAAAATTACTAAACTGTCTTGCAGAGTGGTTGTACCATATTACTTTTGCACCACTGGTGTATGAGAGTTCTAAGTCCTCCATAGTGTCAGCAACACTTGGCATCATCAGGTTTTCTTTTTCTTTGCAATTATAGCTATTAATTATTAAGTGTTTAGTGATATCTCACTGTAATTTGCATTTGCATTTCACAAATCACTTGTAACATCAAGCATCTTTTTGTGTGATTATTTGCTATCTGTCCTTTTTTCCTTTTTTAAAAAAATTTTTTATTTTTGAAACAAGATCTTGCTCTGTTGCCCAGTGGAGTGCAATGGCACAATCTCGGCTCACTGCAACCTCTGCCTTCTGGGTTCAAGCGATTATCCTGCTTCAGCCACCCAAGTAGCTGGGATTATATGCACCCACCATCACGCCTGGCTTTTTGTATTTTTAGTAGAGATGGGGTTTCGTCATGTTGGCCAGGCGGATCTCGAACTCCTGACCTCAAGTGATCCACCCACCTGAGCCTCCCAAAATTCTGGGATTACAGGCGTGAGCCACCCACTGCACCCGGCCTATTTTGTCCATTTTTAATTGGGTGGTTTTCTCATTATTGGGTTTTGAGAGTTCTTTATACATCTAGAGAAAGTCCTTTATCAAACATAGGCTTTGTAAATATTTTCTCCCAGACTGTGGTTTATCTTTTAATTCTTCTTAACACTGTTTATAAAAAAGCAGAGGTTTACAGTTTTAATGAAATCCTATTTATCAATATGTTCTCTTGTGGATCATGATTATGTTACTGTATCTGAGCCTAATCCAAGGTTACAATAATTTTCTTCCATATTTTCTTCCAGAAATTTTATATTCTTAGATTCTTAGTAGCAAGTTACCTTCTACTCCTAGTTTGCTGAGAGTTTTTAATCAGTTATGGATACTGAATTGTGTCAAATACTTTTTCCTGAATGTACTGAGAGGATGATGCGGTCTTTCTTTTTCAGTTTGTTACTATGGTGAATTCACCTGATTGGTTTTCAAATAGTGAGACAACTCTGCATTCCTGGGATAAACTCCACTGGTACATTATGTATTGTCTTTCTTTAATATATTGGTGGATCCATTTGTTACAGTTGTACTTAAAAATTTCACATACGTGTTCATGATACATTTTGATTGGTTGTTTCCTTTTATTGTAATGTTTCTCTCATGTTGGTTTCAGGATAATGCTGACCACACACAACCAGCTGGGAAGTAATCCCTCCTTTTGAATTTTCTGGAATAGTTTGTAGAATTGGAATTATTTCCAGTGAAGATATCTGTCTTAA